TATGAAACGTAAATATGTTAAGATATAATGTACCTGTACCTCATACAAGTTTACAGAGAAAATCAATTTTTTTTTTTAATTTTTGTTTGGTGATTGTAATTGATATATAAGACTGTTAATAGGTCAGGTTAGCCTGAGTAAAAAAGGCCGATGAGTCCAATATTTAATAGGATCTGATAGAGTTTGGAACTCAATTATAGGTCCGAATTAAATATGAACGGAGTTTCAACCTCACTAAGCTCAAGGCCAATTAAGGCCCAACCTGTTCATATATATATATATATATATACTAGGCATTGTGCCTCGCGAGTTTTGCGGGGTGCCCCATTATGTATGCTAATCATATATGATTTTGATTGATCTGTATTGATATAAAACAGTATAATTGATTTATATATATTGATATATATTGATTAGATGGATATAGAATTTTTATTCATTTCTATGTATTAGATGTACATAGGATTTTTAGTGACTTGTATATTTTTTTGATATTTAATAAGCGAATAAACATAAAAAGAATTTCTATTTTTTTCATATTTAATATTTTTGGTATTATATATATTTTGGGGAAAATTAATAAATAAGTGAATAACTATAAAGAAGGAGGGAAAATTATATACATAGAAATAGCATCAAAGTTATAATTATTTCATATAAATAACATATATTATATGTTAATACAAAGTGGTATTATTGCGGTGGAGATGTTTGATTATGATTCTTGAATAAAGTTTCTGCTGAAGAGGTGCAGATGATAATTGTTTTCATTGAGGAGCGTGAATAGGATGACACTTCCTTCATGTAGGAAGTGTTTTTGCGCGAATGTTGGCCAACCTTCTGTTATTTCTATTCCTTCTAGTTGAAAGATCCATCGGGTTTTAGCGTAATAGCAATTGATCATTCCTGCGTCATTTGTTTGTATATGTGATGGTATATCACCGACGAGTAACTGAGATAGAAAAGAGGGAAAAAATGTCGTTGTATTATGAAAGGAGAATAGGAATGTATTGTATGAATGTAATTTGTATGAAACTGACCAGAGATTCGAGATCATCTGCTCTTAGCATTATATAAAATGAGAAGTGGGTCATTAGTCTTTCTTCTTCTGTGAAGAGCGCTTTGGTTACAAGAAAAGGAATGGGTTAATTTATTTTATAATAGAGAGATAAGATTGTTTTATAGAGAAAGAGTTGCTTACTGCATCCAATTGATGATTGTGAATGATTGAGGAGGATGTTCCATTCATGACAAGCTAAACAGTTATTTGGATTATATATGGCAACTCTAAAGACCATACATCCGATGTGCAAAAAATGAAGAATGGAGCCATTCTATATGTTGTGGTCTTGTATGAATTTGTTCCATCCAGATAGCTGAAAACTGGTATCGAGTTTGATGAACCATGTGCGATTTCCATTTCGTATAATCATTGTGTTTGTCCAGTAGTTTCTCAAATGTGGATAAAATGATGGATTAATTCTCTGGAAAGAAAAGGATGAGGTATAGCATAAAGTACGTGAAAATCAAGATATGTAAGCATGAGGTTTATTGGTTTACCAATCTTTCTGGGTATGCTTGTCTATATTCGACGAGAAATGAGCTTGGCGATGAAGCTGAGATTTTGATAGATGCATAATTTATAGGTGGTCAGTGGAAAATAAATAAGCTATATTTTAGTGAAGAGAGTGTAAAATGTATAATATGTGAATATAAGAGGAGAAAACTTACCGGATATTAGTTCTGGTGGTGGATAGTCGGATATGAATGATGTGAGCCAATTTGATGCATCAAAGTGTGATGACCAATGTTGAAGATGGGGTTCAATAAATCTGGAACCTATAGCTCTTATGAAGTTGGTGCTGATTTCATATGCAAAGCTGTTATTGGATATTGGGGTTGTTTGTCCATTAATAGTATGAAGATAAAACAGGCAAGCTATCAGGTGGTCATTTTCTTCTATTGTTTCTATTGTCCAATCTATGAAAGTTGGTATTGCCATGAGTTTTCTGGGTTGTTTGATTTTAGTTATATTTACTTATATTTATGGTATTTATAGTGGTTGTTGTTGGTGCATAACATGTGATATGAGTGGGTGAATTTTTGTATTATTGTCGTATTTTTTTATGTATTACTTTGGTGGACACGTGAATATACAGTAATGGATTGGAAAAAGACAAGAAGTTATTATTTTGTTATGTTAGTATTTTGATGAAACTGTTGTCATGTGAATATATAATTATGTTGAGATGTGTCAGATGGATTGGAACAAAGAGAGTTAATAAACTAACATAAGTAGCGTGGCATATTAATGATGTAGTTTTACATATGCTTCGTAGGAAACCAAACAAAAATACATCCTGCTTTTTTCATGTTTACTTTGTACATAAGCAGATGACAACAAAATGTGATAGATAGTGGCAGGGAATCAAAAGTATGAAGACACATGCATAGCTGGTTACAGGTGATTTTTTGAAAAGTGTGTCATGTTGAGACAATGGATTTCATGTGAGCTTCTGATGCTTAGATTCCTTGTCAAATTCTTTGTCTAAGCTTCGCTTGGCGGATGGTGCTGCTATTGGAGTGGGAGAATGAGGGATATCTGTTGTGTGAGATGTGGAAGATCCAGCTGAAGCAATATTTTTGTAGATTGAGCTTGGAGTGGCAGGAGGTGCAGATTCATCAGCTGGCCTGATGAGGTCTTCAGATGTGGTTATTGTGTGAATTAACTTTTCTGCTTCTGATTCTGGTGTTTTTTGGTCAGTTGTGTGCTCCAGAAGAGGATGGGTTGATGATTGATCAGGGAGAAAAGCAGTGAGGAAATACAGGGGTGTAAATTGTCTGTGAGATGGTAGATATGATCTTATCTCACAGAGCAATGTTTGTTTTTGAATTCTTTCATTGATTACATCAACAGGAATTGGGAGTTGCTGCATTATTGTAAAAAAATGTAAATTAAGTAATGAAAATAGTGAAGTATGTTGAATGGTTTATTTATAAATAAGAATAATGTAATATATACCTTGGTATATCTGTCATAGATTTCAGCAGCAGTCATATCAAACAGAGTTTCAGCATATTTTTCTTCAACAGCAGCAGTTAGATAGCCAGTGTCATCATGTATGTTGAGCTGGAGCTTTGCTCTGTAAAAGTGATAAGATCAAAGTTAGATGATGCATACTATTAGTAGTGTAAAAAAGGAATTATGTAATTCATTGAACTGAAATAGATACTTTGGTTTTGGCTTTGTCTTTTGTTTCACAGAAGTTGCAGTCAAATTCGATATCCATCATTGCTCCAGTTGATTTACCACATGTAGCACAGCTGGCAATAAAAAACTTCTGGTCGATGTTAACTATTGATGGAGTTCCTTTGATCCAGAAGTTTTTGATCTATTGGAAAGAAGAGAGTTAGAAATGATGATCAATGTAAAGAAATTATTTATGTAAATTTCTTGTGGTAGAGCATGTAAGAAGAAAAATGTATGTTACCAGTTCTGATGAGGCAATGATTTGTGAGATTGGCCTTATTTGAGTATGTGGAGGAGCAAGGATTTTTTGATTGATTTTTTCATAGAGTTTCTGGCTGATGACCTTTTGAATATATGCTCTATTTTCATCACACCTACAATATTTGTTTAAATTTTTGTTATATTTATTTGCTAATGTGAAAGTGTTTGTGATTGAGAATAGGAAAGAAAGAGATATATACCAAGTTTGTAGTGAAGCTGTTTCTTGTAATAGTGGGTCAAGGATGATTGTACTATTGGGGCGAGTAGCAATGTCAATTCCTTCAATTGTTATTTGTGAAAAGAGAAAAAGAAGACAGAACAGAGTATTTGATTAGAGATATTAGTTTGCATGAGTTAATTGAATTATGATTTTAAAGATAAGTAGCATACTAACCATAGTATGTTGTGATCTTTGGGCGTACAAGCAGAACTATTGGGCATGTGTGAATAATGTTCATGAGCTGAACTCCTTCAATATAAATATATGGTTCCCACATGGTGAAGATCATTGGTCTGCATCTGAAAAATATATAGATATTAATGTATAAAAAAGATAATTTATGATATGGATATTTGACTGAATGAAAAGATAGACTGTATGGAAGAGTGTTTAGTAAGATAGTGAGTCGAAGGTTTACTCAGGATTAATAGCAATGAATCTGCGAATTGTGCGTGGTCCTCTTGCTGTTGATATTATAGATTCTGGGAATCCTTGAATTAAAGCACAAAGGAGATCTGCAGAGATAAGGTCATTCAATAAATATAATGTGTTAGCATTAATATAAAGTTAAGGTATATATGCTTGTATTAGAAAAATGATAAAAGTAAAGATAGGCTTACTAAATCTGATGGAATAATTGTTTTTATATTTGTCAAGATTCCAGAAGGAAGTTAATGGGAATCGATTGTGCAGGGTCAGCTCATTTTGTTTCTGTGCTTGCTTGATGAAAGTTGTTTTCATTATGGTTAGTTGCCATGGCACAGAACCAGCTTGGTTTCTTTCATCAGTGATGGCTAAAATAGCAGCATTGCCAAAGTAGTAAGTACGGTAGAGATGAAGCTTGCTGTCTGCATAATTTACATCTCTAGTGAAAGTAATTCCCTGGATGGATTCATTCTGTAGAGGAAATGGTTATCAATTGGTTGAAAACGGGATGATAAATAAATTTGAGGATGTAAAATATTTATTTCTATACTTGAAACTTTTTTAATGCGACAAATTTGTAATGTTGAATTTACTTGTTCATCGGCAAACACGAAACGCTGGAATGTGTTATGATCTTTTCCTGGGAAGATGTTTGTTTTTTCAATCAGGATGACTTTTATGATCCACTCGCTTGATTTGTCTGTCAAGGTACTCACAGTGGTGCATCTATCTTCCATATCTGAAGTATAAAATATGAAAAATATATTGTTAGTGACAGAGATATGTAAATATATAGAGTAAGAAGTAAAGGTATTTGTAATTAAAGACATTCAGGCTAAGTACTTAATCATGAGTTGCAGCTGCCAGGATTTCCTGATAAACTACATTGCGTGTAGAATTATGGGATAAAGAATCAGATGCAACAGGTCTAAGTAGAATTTTAACATTATCAGCTGTTTTGGCTCTTGATAGTGCAACATACAATTGACCATGTGAAAATACTGGTTCTTTCAAATATAATCCTACAAAATCAAGTGTTTGTCCCTGTGTTTTGTTAATTGTCATAGCAAAACAGAGAGAGATTGGAAATTGAGTGCGTTTGAAAGGGATTGGATATGATTCATCATTAGAGCTATGCAATGGAATGCGAGGAATGAAAACTTGTTTGCCAGAATGAATTCCAACTGAAATTTGTGCATGAATAACATTTTTGTTGAAATTTAAACAAATCAAACGTGTTCCATTGCATAATCCTTGTGCAGGATTGAGATTTCTTAGAAGTATAACTGGGCAATTTTGCTTCAAAATCAATTCATGTGGGGGTAATCCTGGAGGGTGAACAATATTTAAGAAGTCACCGTGATCAGCTTGCTTGGTTGGATCTATGGTTTGATCGAAGCTGATGTATTTGATTTCTTCTCCTGGGAATTTCTGGATCAAAATTTGGTTGACCTCGTGGACAATATCATTTGTTGTACTGAGAATGACTCTATTAATCATAGTAGAATTGCCGGGCAGAAAGTTAGACAGTGATGGATAAACAATGTTGATGAGGGAGTTTAATGATACTTCATCATTAATAAAAGGAATGGTCATAGGAGAAGGCAACTGGATTTTGTCATCTGCAATGGTTGGCTGTGTTCCATCTCCAATGTTTAGCAAAAGATTTGAAAATGATGGGTCCAAAGATGCTCTCATGTTCTCAGTCAGCCGTATCTTTTGAAGTTGTGGCCAGACATATGAATTGATAAGTGATGCAGAGATGTAATCTTCCTTTTGCCCTTCCCTCACTACTGGAAGAGTCTGTCGAAAATCCCCACCAAAAACAATGATTTTACCACCAAAGATGTGATCACAACTTAACAAGTCTCTAAGAAATCTGTCAAGGGACTCAATTGCATATTTTTTTGCCATTGCTGCTTCATCCCATATTATGAGCTTTGCACTCTTGATTAACTGAGACATTGCACTTTGTTTAGAAAGATTACATGTGCTGCTAGCTTCATGATGGAGAGGGATTTTGAAGCGTGAATGAGCAGTATGACCTCCTGAAAGTATTGATGCAGCTGCTCCTGATGTTGCAGTTGCTAATGCAATGTCTCCTTTTGATCTAATTGTTGCAAGGAGTGCTTTATAGAGAAAAGATTTTCATGTACCACCAGGACCGTCAATGAAGAATGCAGCTGGAGTGTTTGTATTAACTTTTTCCATTATTTTGTCAAATGCAAATTGCTATCCAGGATTGAACATAGAGACTGCTGCTAAATCTTCTTTGGAGACAGGTATGTCAGCTTCAGCTTGTATTTCTTTTGTAAGACTGATAGAGCGAGAATCTGGAATAAAGTCTGAGAAACCATAATCCTTTATACTTTTTCCCATTATCTGTAAATATTGATCAATCAAAGCAAGGACTTTCATGATAATTTCATTTTCTGATAGAGAAGAGTCTGCTGTAATGTCTTCTGATAAGAATGGTCGAAATCTTGACCAAAGTTGTTGTAGATCGGCTGGTGAACAATGGACCAAGATGACTGCAAATAGCTGCCTTAAACATTGCGGCATTCCATAGACAACAGCTTCTGAAAAGCACTCTTCGGCTCCGTTGTCTATTTGAAGGAATCCTCGCAATTCTGCAGCTTCTTTAAATGAAGAAGCTAGATAACCGTTAACTGTTTTCAGGTCATCAAAAGATGTGGGTTTTCGAACATGCATGAGCAATATTCTGAGATAATACCTCTCTCCTTCAATCGGATGTGCTGTTATAACACGCCCAATGACCTGTCCTTTCTTTCTAGTGTACCATATTCTATCATCTGCATCCCAGACAAAATGCTGAGGGAACTCTTTGTACAGAAGATTAAGGCTTTCTGCATGTTCATTTGTCCGATTCATTGCAAAGAATTCTGTTAGCATTGTTCGTGAAAGCCTGTCGTCTGTAATTATATCTGTCAATGGACGATTCTCGTCAAAGTACATTGATTGGTAGTTTTCAAGATGTAAATGAAGCAAAATAACCGATGGATTGATAACACTGAGATCAAAAGCATATATCCTCCAGATAGCTTCAGGTGCACATACCCATCTTGCAGATTGAAAATTTTTTATCTCATCAATGATTTGATTTGCTTGCTCAGCTGTCAATTGGTACATCACCCTATCATGGCCCTTGTATATATATTTGTAGATGTACTTTACAGCTTCGATGGCAGAATATATTTCAACATTGATGTGACAATCATATTTTGCAAGAAGATATGGATTGTAAGGGACAATCCATCGATTATCTAACTCATGTTCTCTGATATAGATCTTGCTGCCATCATCCCGTCTTCTGTATATAGGATATGAATTTTTTTCATGCTTTGTGTACTCTGAAAAATCTTTCGGATAGTTATTTCTGCACTTGTGATTCTGTTTCATACAAGGATTACTTGGATTCATTGATCCACATGGTCCATGAAGCATGTGCTTTATAACCAAAGAATATAAGTATGGTGCCTTGTGTCTATCAGAAAGCTCTGCACAAACAATTTTGTCGTATTCTTCTGGCGAGAACATCTTTGATTGTTCCTTTAAGATGATCAGAAAATGAGCATGCAGGAAACCTCTTTTTTGGAATTCGATAACATAAGTGTAAGCAGCAACATGACCAAAAAGATGTTTCTTGAAAAGATCTTCTTTCAATTGCTCTATTTTTGCACGAAATATCCGTGTTATCAAATCAGGCCGATTCTGAGCTTCATCTGTGTCAAGCAAATGGTTCTTTATTTCAGGCCAAGATGGATTGCAGGTCATTGTAAGGAAGATATCTAGCTTTCCATAATGTTGTACAAGGGTCATAGCATCCATATATCGTCGTCGCATATCTCTTGACCCTCCTATAAAACTTGCAGGCAGGATGATGCGTTTTCCCACATCTGATGCATTTGTGTTCCCTTTTGCTATGATATCGAGCAATCCTTGATAAGCCTCTGTTCTCAATTTGTTCTGTTTGTTTCTGTGAAATTCAAGGCGTGATGTCTCTAATTTCACATAGCTATCAACAGAATATTGCTGGAATAAACGGTCGATATGCAGCAAGTTTGACTGATCTCCATCTCGCATTTGGAATTTGTAAGCATAATATTCTCTGCATGAGACAGTTGGTCTTTGTCTTTTTTTCTTTTTGGCAGCTGTTAACATTAGAAAAATGTAAGAAGGAGGTCACCTGTATATGAGAGTAAATAAGAACCAGAGAATATAAATATTTGTAATTGGAGTTATACCTGTTTGTTCTGCAGAAAATAGCTGTTCTATATCATTGCATTCATTGATAGAAACCAAGTTTTCCTTTTCACAAGTCTGATAGGGTTGTTGAAGAATCTGAGTTTTTGTTTTTCTAAGAATTCCGGATGCCATCCGGTTTCTCCACGAGCAAATATCAGTGGATACTGTAATGTGTCACAACAACCATAATATTGCTTGACTATTTTTCTATCTCCTGTCTTTGTACAGATTTCAATTTCTCTTGACCTGTCTCCATTAACACTGTCATTCTCTGACCAAATTGCTGCAACTTGAGACATTGAAGGAACATTGAAAACACGTTGATCTAATCCAGGATTGGATTTCAGGAAAATTTTGTATTTATCAATGTCTGCCAATTTTCGGATAAAGATAGAATAAGGATTGTCATCAAGGACAGATTTTAGTTGCTGAACAATCGATTCCTTGAATTTGCTTGACAGAGCCATCCTATTCTGCATCTCATGTTCTGTATCATAAAAATAAAGCTGAAGATTCGATGCTTTTTCACCAGTAGAAGGTTTGAGTGGATTGACAAAATGATAAATCTGTCCTTGAACTCGAAATGTGTAGATGCCTCTGTTTCTTTTGCTCAGCTCTTTGTCATAATGAACTCCCAATGATGTGAAAGCAAACATATTGTTGTAACTCCTGATACATTGTCTGAATTCAATACTTTCAGGAGTGTTTCCTTTATAGAGTTGCAGCAACTTATCCAGCATTTTTGTTTCTGCTAGACAAACTTCTCCTGATGCACAACAAAATCTTGGTGGTTCCATATAAAATCGTTTAGCATGACAATGTGGACAATCTGGAACAGATGGGAGGATGGTTGGTTCTAATGGTATTTGTTGGAGCAATGGTGTATTTTTTCTGCGGCGTATAGGAGCTAGAAGAATTGAATAGGAATTTTGATAAGCTATAATAGGAAGATAGAAAAGCTTTCTATTATGTATAAAGAGATAAAAGTAAGGAAAAATGTATTAAAGACTGTTGTCGCACCAGGTTGATTTTGGATAGTTGAGGATGAATTTGATGGTTCTGTCATTAGCATTGACTATGCTGAAAATTGATTAGTATAATTTCAGCTATAAAAATGAGAGAAAACTAGACTGCAACATTGATATGTATTATAATTATATATTATTCAGTAGTTATGGAGGTTATTAAAATAGGCAGAAAGCGTACATGTAGAAATGGGACAATTGAACCACTGAATACTAATATCAGATGACGGTGAACCAAAGAGGTCTTGTAAGACAGGATCATTCACTGCAGGAAGATTGTCTATATATATATATATATATGAATGAAAAAATCAGGAATTTGGATATTATTGAGATGATAAGTAAGCAGGGGGAAAAATTATACAAAAGAGTGAAAAAGGAAATAGATACATGGATCAATGTGAGATATAGCTGATGTAGATAAGTTGTCCAGTACGTGAGGAAATTGTGGAGCAGGCAAGGGAAAGCATGAGGAAGGACTTGGAACAAAAGAGGATGATGGCAGAAGAGCATCAAGAGATTGATGATGGAAAGAGCTGGTAGCTTCTGATGCATTAGTGTAAATAGGGACATCAATTAAATGGTTCTCATGCTCTGAAGAAATAGGGACAGGAGAAACATCTGTGACACTAACAGCATGTGCTGGATGAAGTGGAATAGATTCTATGTTTTTGCTAGCCATCTGTGTAGCATGCTGCTGGCGTCTGATTATCTCTGCAGCATATCTTTCTTGGCGTCGTCGATTATTTTCGATGCGGTATTCATCTTGGGAGGAAAATTTACGTTTTCGAGGCATACTAAATAAAAGTAATGAACACAGAGAAATATATGGTATAATTAACAACATCAATGATTATATATGATAGTTGATCAATGAACTGAGGAAAAATGAGAAATATAATGGTGCAGAAATGACAATGACTATGGAGGTCGAAAGTAATGTAAAAGATAACATCAGAATAAGAATATAGAAACCTCATATAAGGCAGCAGGATATAGAGTCTCTATAAAATAGCAAAAGGGATATAAAATGATACTGTTATCTTATATCTGATATCAAAAAGCTATGAAGAAACGGAAGAAGGAGGAGATGACAGAAGATCCTGTAACTGAAATATATAAAAATGGTTAGTAAAATGAAATGGAAAATAGAGGGGAAAAAGTATAACAAGAATATGAATAAAAATCAAGAAAGAAGAATTTAGAGTAAAATGGAATGTCGCAGAACATAAAAACATCATGCATGCAATGAATCTAAGAAATAGGGATGGCAAATTAAAGAGCTATTATACACATCGATTTCTAAGATGGAACATAGGAGAATATTTTTTTTTTGAAAAAGTGGAGGGAAGGGATAGTATAAAAGGCTGCTATCAAAAGAAAGCTAAGAAAATAAGATGCAGATGACATGGAAATTACAATGGTAAAATACAATGGGTAAAAGTATGGACAACGGTGCTAAAAAAAGCACATAACCAAAAAAAGAAGGAATCTTGCATGGCTAGAAAGCAAGGGATCTGTTACGAGAGAAAAGCATGCAAGGGAGGTATAAATGCATCATCATAAATAAGAGTAATAACACATAACGATAGAAGTACATATCCGACGAAGCTATAAGAAGGAAAAATGACAGAGGTTATTAATGGAAGAAAAGCAGTGGTTGATGAGATATATAAACAACATAAGCGAAACAAACTAACTGTACAATAAAAATAGAGATTTATAGAAGAAAACTAACAATAAGAGAGTAATTTACCAGGTAGAAATTGCAGGAAGAAAGATACAGCAAAATAGGCAAAACAGGAACGAGAGGAACTTGCAGTATAGTTGGATGAAGAAGCTTAGCTGTGAAAGATAGTGGGATGGAAAGAAGTGGAATAATAAATTGAATAAAAGGGAAACTTGATGACAACAAAGATCGGACGGCTAGAAGAGTGGGAGGAATAAGAAGAAGTATATTATGAATGGTGATAGGCAATTGCAAGTACCAAACAATCAAGTGGATGCATTTAATGAAGATTAGATAGTAAAAAGGATTGATGTGAAAGGAAAATGAAAAAGCAGTATGAATTCAATTAGATGAATAACACGTGGTTAAACAGTAGTTTGAATAGCAAATGAACACATGGGCACATTAAATATCAATTAGACAATGAAAGAGCTGACAATATAAAAGGCAATTCAAGAAAAGAGGAAATCGGCAAGATGGAATTCTATAGAAAAGGGATAAAGTATCACAATAGTTTATTAATTAATGAGTATTGTTAAAATAATATTTTTGAAACAGACACAAGCTATCTTATATTTTTTGAAGCTAATATCTAACTAATTATTGATTTTATATAGAGAATAAGAAGAACTCTGGAAACAAATATAGCGAAAGAAACATTTTTGAAATACATGAAAATGATCTTAGATTTTTTAGAGAAAGAATGTAATTAATAATCATGTTTTTTGGACAAGCATTTTGGGGAAAAAAGATTTATATATATATATATATTTATTTATAGATAGATATATAGCTAATTATTGTTCTGTATTTGCTAATTATTGTTATTTCGTATTAGTGTTTTCTAATTGACATGGTAAATTAGAGTATTTTTTTGTTGTTGCATGGTGATTAGTTGAAATTAATGAATGTAGTATTAATGAATTGTATAATACTAGGTATGTGGACGAATATGTGATAACCCAAATTAGTTAGTTAGTGATTAGCTTAATTAATTAGTAAGGTAAATTATTTATTTAGATAGTAATTAACCATATCACTAATCATCCTATTAAAAAAGGATAAATTTAAGTGTTGTTACCAATTAATATACTTTTGACACATGATTAAAGTTACCAATAAATTAATATAGTTTTACCACGTGATTAATATTTTAAACAATAGGTGCAAACATATGGATATGTTAATAGATGCTATTAAATTTTTTAATATTACACATATATCGAATTAAAGGTAATTAATGTAGATATTTTACAAAATTAAGGTAAAGTTACAAATATATCTTAATATTTTAAATTATTTGGAGAGAAAATTTTTATGATTAATTTATCAATAAACTTTTAGACTCCATATTAGGGTTGTAGCATGTTAAATACATGCTGTTGAACTGGTTCATAATACAAATATATTAATTAGCATTAAACGTAATTAACTTAATATAAATATATTAATTAGGGTTGAACTTAATATAGATATATCACTCGACTACTTACGTAATTTAAATAAAAATACAAAAAATTTTAAATTCTATACGTTGATTAGGTATAATAATTATGGTAAAATAATATAAAATTGTATAATTTACTCCATTTTTGTTAACAGTGATACATATATTATATTAACGTCTTTGGTAGATTAGGTGAAACATGTCAAGCGGTAATTGTTTGATGATGCAATTCTATTGGGGAGGAAAAATTGTGTATGCTGGCTGGTCAATATCATATGATCCACCGTTGCCCAAAAAGATCATGTTCCTCACAGAAAGGATGAATTTTGATGGATTGGTGGACATCGTATATAATATGATGGAGTTAAACCGAAATACTCATAAAATTAACTTGATATTTCAGAATCACATGCAAAATGGTGTGTTCAGTGCCACGCCCTTGGTAGATGATAATGGAGTTAACGGAAGCCAATAGTGGTCATGGGATGGAGATATATATCGAGGTTGAATCGATTCTAGATTTCAAACATGATGATATGCAAAACTTGCATATTACAAGTTTGCATGGTAATCAAGACCCAAGCATATATGGATCGGAACATATGGATGTGGTGGGGACAATTGGCTTATACGAGAGTCAATTGACCCAAATAGATTGTGAAAATGTTCGATCGGCTCGAGGATCTAGGAGAAAGGGTAATAGACGTCGCATGGAGGTTAATAGTCCCAGTAGTAGTCACCCAGTAATGGACACGGAATCCATTATAAGTTATGGTGTGGACATTGCTACGTGTACAGTTGGCGGGTTCGGGGAAGATAAAGACATTGAATTTGTTGATGTTGACTGCGAACCCGAACCAGATGATGATTCCGATAATGACAACCCTGTGTATGGTTCATTTCCCCATAATGAAAATTTAAGTGAAAGTCAGTTCACACGGGATCATCAGGATCATAATACTCAATGGACCTTTGATGAAGGATCACAACTGCGATATAAAGCCAGTGTTGATGCTGCATTAAAGTTTGATCCATTGGATGCATGTGGGGTTGAGAAGCTAAAATTGTGGAATGAACGCACGAAAGAGTTAGACCTTGGCCAACTATTTGAAACCAAAGACCATGTAAAGCGAGCAATTAAATTGTGGTCTATAAAGGAAAATAGGGAGTTTAAAGTTCGTGAAAACACTCCTACAACTTGGTATGTCAGATGTAGGGCTCGCACCTCTATACCTCCATGCAATTGGCAATTTAGGGCAACCCTACGTAAATCTCACAAGATGTGGATGATCGTTACACTTGCTGAAAAGCATACATGTGTCCGTGTATGTGGCAACAACGATCATAGGCAACTGAGTGGCGACATAATAGCTGAGCACATTATCCCCTACATAATGAATGGGTCAGTGTATAGAATCAAAGAAATACAAACGTCAGTGAAAAAAGAATTTCACGTTGACATTTCATACAAGAAAGTCTGGTATGGCAGGCGTAGGGCTATAGATATTGTCTATGGCGATTGGCCTATGTCCGTTGCACAGCTCCCAACGTATGTCCAGAAATTACAATATACCAATCCGGGTACGGTAGTTGTGTGGGATCATCATCCACTGAGTATTCCGAGCAGTCCGATATTTGACCATATCTTTTGGGCATTTGCTCCTGCCATTGAAGGGTTTCGTCATTTAAAACCCGTCATTTGTGTAGATGGTACATTTCTTAAAGGCCCATATCGTGGAAAGATACTAAGTGCTGTTGCTTTCGATACTGACAATCATTTATTTCCTCTGGCTTTCGCATTAGTGGATAAGGAGAATAATCGCAGTTGGAGTTGGTTCATTAGACTATTGCGTATTCACGTGTGTGGTGATATTCAAAATATATGCATAATTTCAGATCGCCACCATGGAATAATCAACGCAATGAGGATGCTCCCAGAATGGAAAGAACCACTAGCAGTTCATCGATTTTCCTTGGTTCATGTGCGGAGCAATTTTACGCAGAAATTCAAGAATCAAATGTAACATTATTTCTCAACTTGTTTAGGGCTTAATTTCGTTTATATGAAATGAAATACTCTTAACGCCTTTTATAACCACCAATGCGTAGGCTTAAAGATCTTGTATGGGCTGCCGGATCAGCAAATCAACCTCGAAAGTACGAGGAATACATGCAACAAATATTCACATTAAATGCAGAGGCATATGCATGGTTGACAGGAAGTTCAGTCAGACCCATACAGTGGGCCTTATGCAAAGATGAGGGCTATCGGTAGGAACACACATCTACAAATATAGCCGAATGTTTTAACAACTTAATGAGTGATACTCGGATGTTGCCGATCACAGCATGTATTCGGTTTACACTTAATCAGACAGTTGATCTGTTCGTCGAGAACCTAAAGATCACAAAGGATCAGGTGTACACACTCCAAAAAAAAAGTTGAAAAAAATGTTTGACGAATGAAGAAAATGGGCGAGCACACTCTGTTATAATGTATGATCCCATTAGGGGAGTGTTTTGTATTACTATTGCTCATCGACAAAATCATCGGGGTGGCAACGTGCAAACTGTTGACCTTACAAATCAAATGTGCACGTGTGAAAAATGGAGGGAATTACGATTTTCGTGTTCACATGTGTTCGCAGCTTGCTTTAGATCCAGAATTAATCTGATGACTCTTGTGGCACCGGAATACATATTTTCTGCATACCAGGCTACATTTTCTGGCCTTTTTTATCCGCTTAGGGACACAAAGTATTGGCCGACAGCGAATTTGCGAATTCATATTCTAGGTGATCGTTTGAAACAAAAGACTCCGGGGCCTTTAAGGACTGCTAGAATTCGGAATGAGATGGATCGAAGGTGTCCGGATGCTCCACGTCGGTGTAGTAACTGTTTGCAACCCAAACACACTGCATCTAACTACCCATATTCTGGTTACTTTCATCAATAGAATGTTAGGATTAATTTGTCGTGAAATAAACACACCCATATTTGTGTACTTTCTGAATATATTAATGAAATGCATTCTTCTGTTATGAATATTAATCTTTTGTTATGTTGTATATGAGATTTTTCTCTTGTTGCTTTTTAGTGGCATTTATTTATTTTGGCATATATTTTTTATAATGCACACCTAATTCGACTAATAATAATTTAGTTGCAGGCATAACTGTCCATGGATCATTGGAATGCTGTGGAACCCTCAGGTCAAGGGCCGATTGACCCTTCTATATTATATTTATAGCCACACCACAGGTTCGCTGCTGTATTTCATGGTGCATCTTGTGACCTAGATGTCAGAAGATGTGACAAAGAATTGTTTAAACCCTTTATGTATATAGACCCTCGAGTAACTGATTACATCGACCGGGCTGTATTTGGGGGGCACGTAGAGCCAGTTACGTTTATGTGGATCATGGATTGATTATTGCACTTGTCGAGTGTTGGAGATAAGAGACACACACATTTCATCTCCCTATTATAGGCGAGGCTACCATCACCTTGCAGGATGTTGAGGTGCTGTGGGGCCTGCGTGTTGATGGCCTTCCTGTTACCTTGAATCATATTAGACGTAGTCCCTTACAATGCTAACAAATGGTTTACGATCTTTTAGGAATTTGGCCAGAGAATAGGCACTTTCGAGATGGGCGACTGAAGATGTCATTCATAAAGGCATGATTACGGGTAGCATTGGAGCCCAATGCTTTTGAGGAGATGGTTCGTCAATATGTTCGAATGTACATACTGATTCTATTAGAAGGTCTATTATTTGCAGATACCATAGGCAATGTTGTTAGTACAAATTGGCTCGATTATGTACAAGATTTTGAGGCAATGGGCGAATACAGTTGGGGAAGCGCGGTGTTGGCCTGTTTATATTCGCGGGTGTGTATTGCTTCTCGAGCAGAAACTAAGAGTACTGGTGGGCCTTACTTATAACTATAGGTAAATAAATATATATCTCATAAACTATTTTTGCTTAAACACTGTAGACACCAAATTTTTACCAAAATTTATCAAATTTTTATGTGATGAGTCATTTATTTTCTTTCATTTTAATGTATATTTTTCTCATTTTTTTGTAGGTTTATTTTAAGAAAAGAAAATCATGAAAAAGAAAAAAATCAATCAAAATCAAAAAAAAAAAAAGAAATCAAAATAAAAAATCATGACTAACTTACACATTTTCATCATTTTCCCTACCAAATACACTTAACCCATTCCTACACTCAACTTTCTTCACCTTTCTTGTCATTTGGTAAAAAATCATCATTTTGACCAAACACATACACAAACTTCTTTTTTTCTCTCCAAATATTGACTCTCTCGGCTCTCTCTCAAAAGCAAGCCACAAAAGAAAAAAAAAAACTAACTCTCCACTCCCCAACTCTCCCTCTCGGCTCCTTCTTCTTTTTCTCCCAACATACTCCACAAATCAAACAAAAAGGGGAAACTAGCGGTCAGGCCTTGAGGTTTAGGAATTTCACCACAAAGCTCAAACGAGTGACTGCAATATTCTAGAGGTATTTCTTTCTTCTTTTTTTCAGTTTTGTTTTTCACATTAAATTCATATTTCGTTGCTTATTTTCTCCTGTTTTTGCTGCCTTGCATTGTTGTTGTTGTATTGTTAAAAATTTGGGAAATGGCATGAACCAGATTTTGGAAAAGAAAATGCTTCTTATATATGCATATTAACTGTTTGATAAAATGCCAAAATGGAAAACGAATTAAAAGCTGAACATTGTGCATGTTTTTTTTGTTAAAATAGATGACCATTTGACAGTGTAGGTCTGAAAATGTGTGGTTATTCAAAAATTTTGGAGTTTTGAGTGTTAAAAGTTTTTGAAGGTTTTTTTTTTATTTTTTGGACTGTTTTGGGTAAATTTTGTCATATTTATTTTTGTTTTTATCGATTTTTGTTCATAGTTATGTTGTCAAAATCACAAGAAGTGTTGTAGTATAAATTTTATGTTTTTTTTTGTGAAGATTTGAGTGTTAAAAAAAAATAAAAATTGGACTGACTTTTGCTATTTTGACCACTTTGCTTTCCTTTTTGTAAAAAATAACTCCGAAAATGGAATCTACGCAAAAAATCGAGTCAGGGGGTATATTTTGAGAAATTTTGGCGACCGAAAAATTTGCCAGCAGTCAGCTGGCCGAAGAAGAAGAAAAAGAAACGGATGGGAAGTGGAGGAAGAAGAAAGAAAAGAGAAGAAGAAAAAGATAAGAAGAGAAATAAAAGAATGGGCTAATGTTTTTTATTCTGGTGGGCTGGTGGTTATTTTGGGTTGGGTTTTGAGCATGGATTTTGGTTTATTTCTTTGCGGGTTTCGTTTGGGCTGAAGGGATTTTTGGCACAGAAAATAAACAAAATTTGGCCAGTGGCCTTGTTTCCTGAGAGACCAGAAACAGATTTTCACTTTAGCTCCTGATCTTTGGAGTAGTTTCACTGTGGCTCAGAATATTTTAAATTTCTTTCAATTAGGTCCTTAAATGAATTGCACTTTGGTCCCTGAACTTTATCTTTCATTTAATTTTGACCCCTAAACTTTGGAAAAATTATATTTTTAGCCTCAAAAGTTTTTTAATTTTTATAATTTAGTCCCTAGTGAATTTTGACTCTCTTCATTATGATTGTTTCTTTTCTTTAATAGCTAATTATGCTACTTTTGAATATATTTAACTTGTAATTTTTTAGATATTCTTAAGTTTCTTTATAGTTGACATATTAATATGAATTTAGTATTTTTATCATTATTATTATTTTCAATTAAATTGATGTCATGATTCTTTTGTTCATTTTGAGTATAAATAGGGCAATTTGACTCCATTTAGTCACCACTTCAAAAGGGAGGTACTCCTATTATTATTATTATTCCAATGTCAATTACGTGCTCTTATGTGCTCCTACGTGTTTCTATTTGTTTATATATTTTTATTTGCTTTATTTATTTGATTTAATTTTCATTCAAAATTTCTTATATTTGTTTAGTTAATTTTTATAATTATTTGAGAGGCATTTAGATACCTCAAAAAAAATGTAATAGATAGGATAAATAGATTTGTTTTATTATATTTTCCTATTTTTAGATTGTAATTGAGTCCCCTATTGTAATATATAGGGTAGATATGATTTTTTTTTTATTTTTCCATTTTAGATTGTAGTTAGGTTCCCCACTGTAATAGGTAGATCTTTGCGTGTTTATGTGGCTTATGTGTTATGTGCTTTATCCACTTTCCTTAGGATTTTTGCATCTAGATATTATGTTTATGTGTTATGTGCTACGTGCTCTTACATGTTTATTTGTTTTAATCTATGTCTACCTGTTTTACTATATATTAAGAATGCATGACGTCACCACACTAGTCCAACGCTAGTTGTGGCTTCTTCCTCTACTTACTTGCTAGTCCAATGCTAGTAAGGATTTTTAGAAATGGGTTAGTCCAATGCTAGATCCTTATGTTGTTCGTGCGTTAGATTCATTTTGTGTGATATTCATTCCATTTTCATGCATATTTTCATTTTTAGGATCTTTTTTCATTTGCATGATATTCCCTATTATATTATCCCCTATCCTCTATATGTGTTAATCATATCATTTAGAATTGCATCTCATTTAAGAAATTGTAGAATAAGTTAGTTCATTTGTTTGTTCATATTAGGAGAATTATTTTTTGAACATGGATATGGGTGATTATAACTCTTTAGTTTAAATACCTCATCGATTCCTGTCTAAGAAAATTATGTCACGAGTTTTTGTTTCCCGCACCCATTATGTTGCATTCCTATTCTTTGACCACTTATATTTAGATATAATTTAAGTTTCTTTTCTTTTCTTTTCTTTTAATTTCATCATTCGCATACTCGTGACTCTTTCGAGGAATTATTTTGGCCTTCGCAATCTATGCGATTGGTATCAATTAAACCCTTAAATGGATATTTTGTCCCTTTCATCGTTCTTCGTGAATGTGATGAATAGTTTATTTATTTACTTATTCGTATCGCGCTTTGCATTAG